TTATAAAAGAATATGTAGATAAAAAAAGTGTCGATATATGCCTTCATTTTTCTTAATAGTTAAAGTTAAAACTGAACTTTTTAAAATAAAGTATTTATCGTGTCATTTTCACCAACTAGCAAAACATTTTTATAAGTTTAAAATGGTATTTTTTTAATATAATAACCAAGAAAGTTTTCTTTGAACTATGTTTATGAACGGAAATAATGTGTTAATTACGTAAAGTTTGAAGACTAATAACCAGAAAAAGCATAACTTATTTTTACAAAGAGAAAGATGCAAAGTTATCATATCTTTGTTTGCGATCTCCGAGATCTGTGGACACAGTGACGTCATGAGGAGGGAAATCGTAGCTTCAGCTCTAAGAGCGGAGTGAACTAGCCCTTCTATTCTCTTTAGCCCTGGATAGAACAGAGAGGAAAAGAACATTCATGCCTTGCCCGGGATTCGAACCCAGAACCTTTCTGATGCAAGGGCAGTTCCCTAACCCCTACACAAGCCAGTCGGCTTGTCTAAAATATTAAATATTTGAATTTGTTGACGTTTTTAAAGGATAAAATTTTGGAAGTTAAAGTTCGAGCAATAAATTTAGTTTTCAAAAACAATTCACTGTTTTTTTTTAACATACAAATCAGTTAAGAGAGCACTATACCAATGAGAAACATTTTATGGTAAATTATTTATCAGAATCGTATATATCGGTGTATAACTCTATTTTTCAAACCTCTGAAATTTTAGGAAGTCGATTTATATACCGGTAATAAAGTTGGTCATTTGTTGATCGGGAAATATCGATGCATTATAAAGAATGAAAATTAGTATGAATAACTGTATTAATTTACTTACTTAAAGCTATTTTTAATATGTTATGTAAAATTAATTTTGCACTTTCTCTCGTCAATATTTTTTTACATCTAAAGTTTTTTCATCAGAACCAATACCTAATACTTTACAATACTTTAAATCTTATTCAGAAAAAAAAATGATAACAATAAAAGTTAAGATAATTTATTCAAGAATATTTCAAAAAATATAATACAATGAAAATTTTAAAAATAAACCATGAATTTGGAAATTCAAATATTCTGGAAGATCATATGTGTTGGATTTAATAACATTAGCAGTGTCGTCCAACAATGCTACACTGTAATGGATACTAGATAATCTTTATCTGCTATGCCCTACAAAAAATCGTCTACACCTCATCTAAAATATTAAAAATGGATTCTAATCAGAGGGATAAATATCATCATCAGACGTTCTCCCGAAAAACTTACCTAGACAAAAAAGGATTCAGATCAGAGGGATAAGTATCATCATCAGACTTTCTTCCGAAAAAATTACCTAGACAAAAAGGATTCAGATCAGAGGGATAAATATCATCATCAGACTTTCTACCGAAAAACTTACCTAGACAAAAAAAAATTATAACTTTAACCATTGCTGCCAGTTTAGCTATTATATTTTACTACTATTTATTTTTCCCGGATAAATGAATCGAAAAAGTGTATTTTGTTCATTAAGCTTGAAATAGCTTAACGAACTTTCCATACAAATTTCGGAATTTAAATCATTTGTGGTTTCGATTAATATATTTTGGATCCTTTTCTCTGTTACTTTTTATTGTTAATAAACAGATTAGTTTTAAAAATTATTAAATGAGCAGGTATTTTTTATAGGTAGATAAATATGCAAATATTTTTCTGATTGTAGAAGTCAAGATTCCCCTTCATATTTAAAATTGAAATATTCATTTTTAATGAATAGTACTGTTATTCATTACAAAATTTGGTGATAAAACATATTCGTTTTACTGTTACTAAACAGTAATGTGAAACATATTTTATTTTATGCTAGTCTTATTTTAAGAAACACATCTATGATTATAATATTAAAAATTATGAAAGTTATTCGATTTTAATTTGTCATCTGTTGTTGTCACCAATTGTTAACAACTAGAACATTAAAATATTTATTTGGATTTATATATAACTTACTAGTTAAATTGCGTAATTTAAAGGATATTGAAATATATTTAATGGTTGATTTTTACGTATATTTAAGCAAAAATAAAATACAGCCTGGAGCTAGATTATTGCACAGGCCAAGTAAAATTTTGGCGTAGATCCCGCTTTTAAAAATCGTAACGAAGTTCATGTGTTACACAAAAATTCAATGCATGAAAAATTTTAATTTTTTTCCCTTTGTTATTTCAGTAAATAACTCCTTAATTTATCTTTTATTACTCAAATAATGATACGATTTAATCTAATTTTTTTAATAAATGTTAAACTAATCTTTTACTTTAAACCTATTTTGTATTAAAAAACTTTTTAATGAAGGAAGCAAAAAATTATAATAACACTTTTTTCCTTAACGCATCTTAATTTCCATTTAAATATATTAACAAAATTTTACTTAATAGTTAAAACTTATCTGTTTGTTATGTTTCATTGTTATTTAAA